CCACCTCTCCACCCCTCCTACCTGTCTGGATGAATATGGCTTCTTTATATCCTTGGTTGTTGGACTTCCACACAGCTTGATTTTCTGATGGTTCTGAGTGATATTTGTTTTGTGGTCTAGTTGTAATTTTTTCTGTAGTTGTGCAAGGAGGTGAAGTGTGTTTACCTACACCTCCATCGTGACTAGAATTCTTTTTTGTTTGTTTAATTTGAGCCCATATAGCCACCAGGAGCCCTTCTTAGTTCTCAGGTTTCAAGGGTTCACAGTTACTTTTTTGGCATTAAATTGAACTCTAACACATGCATATTCCACACAATAAGAGGTTGCTTTAGAACCTTGGGTGGACACTAACTCTCCTAGAGGGGTATGTGCAGTGCAACAGAGGTGCCAAGAATGCAGGACAGGTGTTGTTAAAATGTTTCTCTCTCCATCTCCTCCCCCAACTCCAAGGTCTACACATACCCTCTCAGCTCCCAACATCATCCGTAAGGTCTGCTGGTCTCCACTTTCTCAGAGGAGATGATGTAGCTGATACCCCTTAGTTTCTATGTTGTCATTGTTACCTGATGACAGCAACTTTCTTAGAAATGTGAACCTTCTGATGAGAGCAAATAGCTGATAATAGATTGTTTTATTTTTTTAATTATATTTTTTTGATTATGGTATTAAAGCTGACCCAATTTTTCTCCCTTTGCCCCCCTCCACCCAGCACCACTCACTCCTTCAGGCAATACACACACCATTGTCCATGTGTGTGGGTCATGCATATAAGTCCTTTGGCTACTCTGTTTCCTCTACTATACTTTACATCCCCATGGATATTCTGTAACTACCTATTTGTACTTCTTAATTCCCTCACCTCTTCACGCATTTCCCCACAACCCTCTTCCATCTGACAACCATTAAAATGCTCTCCATATCCATAATTCTGTGTCCGTCCTTCTTGTTTGCTTAGCTTTTTTTAGATTCAATTGTTGATAGATTTGTATATTCCCATTTTATAGTTCATAGTTTTGATCTTCTTTTTCTTAAATAAGTTCATTAACATTTCATATAATAATGTTTTGGTGATGAGTTCATACTCTTTTTTTTTTTTTTTTTTTTGGTCTGGGAAGTTCTTTATCTGCCCTTCAATTCTAAATGATAGCTTTGCAGGGAAGAGCAATCTTGGCTGTAGGTCTTTGCTTTTCATGACTTTAAATATTACTTGACAATCCCTTCTGGCCTACAAAGTTCCTTTTTAGAAATCAGCTGACAGTCTTCTTGGAACTCCCCTGTAGGTAACTACCTTCTTTTCTCTTGTTGCTTTTAAGATTCTCTCTTTATCTTTAATCTTTGGCATTTTAATTATGATGTGTCTTGGAGTGGACCTCTTCGCATCCATTTTGTTTGGGACTCTGTGTGCATTCTGGACTTGCATGTCTATTTCCTTCACCAAATTAGGGAAGTTTTCTTTCATTATTTTTTTTCAAATAGATTTCAAATTTCTTGGTCTTTCTCATCTCCTTCAGGCACTCCTATAATGCAAATGTTGGAATGCTTGAAGTTCTCCCATAAGCTGCTTACAGTATCCCCATTTTTTTGGATTCTTTTTTCTTCTTGCTTTTTTCTTCCTTATGTTCCAGATAATTGATTTCATTCTTGGCTTCACCCACTCTACTGTTGTTTCCGTACCAATTGTTCTTTATTTCAATTAGCATATCCTTCATTTATGACTGATCTTTTTTATGCTGTTGAGGTCCTCACTAAGTTCCATAAACAAACTTATAACCAGTGTTTTAAGTTCTGCATCTGATAGATTGCTTATCCCTCTTTTATTAGTTCTTTTTCTGGAGCTTTGATCTGTTCTTTTGTTTGAGCCATGTTTATTTGTCTCGTAATTTTTGCAGCCTCCCTATGTTTGTTTCTACATATGATGTAGAACTGCTATGACTCCTGGTCAGTAGCATGACCTAATATAGTAGGTGTCCTGTAGGGTCCAGTGGCACAGCCTCCCCTATCACCCAAGCTGGGTCCTTGAAGTGTGCCCTTCATGTGGGCTGAGTACACTCTTCTCTTGCAGTTGAGCCTTGACTGCTGTTGTCAGGTCAATAGGAGGGATTTATCCAGGCCAGTCAGTTGCAAGCACTGGCTGTGGCCACTGACCACCAACCTCTACCTTCTAGAGGATAAGCTGTGCTGAGGCAGGGTGATAGTGCTCCAACGTGGTCTGTAGCTGTCCACTGGGTGTGCTGGCTCTGGGATTTCCCGAGTGGTGCAGGCCAAGCTCAGCCCCAGCCCATATTCTGCCCAGCACCAGCCTGCCTAAGGTATAAAGCAATCTGAGATGACTGTTACTTGGGCTGGGCTTGGAGATTCCCAGGTGAAGCCAAGCTGTGAATCTAGGCTGGTTGCTGCTAGTGCCAGGCCTGGGGTCACTTAACTGTTTCTTGTTTGATAGGACTTAGGAAGTAGTGAAGCATGAGTCAAAGCCAGCCATTCATATGTAAAAATCATGGTTAACAGTTTGGGTAGGTCCATAATTTGGGCAGGATGGAGTCAAGGGGGATCTCTAGGGTAAGGCAAACAATGTTAGCCAGGCTGATGGAGCCTCAGACATGGCACGCACCTGCTGAGTCTGTGTTTCTTTGCAGAGAGAGCTCAGACAAATGACAATGGTCTCTGCCTGCCTTTCTGTCTGGGAGAAAACTGTCTCCCCAGCTCTTGCCTTGATGCCAGACACTTCAGGTCCTCCCTATATGCCACTGGTGCCTTTCAAGCTGCTACCCTAGTGGTGCTGGAGCTCAAAGAAAGCACTTCTGTGTAAGTTTGTGTGGGGGTTCTTTAAGGGGAAATGCTTGGGATTCCAGAAATTTTTCCCACCAACTCAATCTCTGTTGGTTTTTGCAGCCAGAAGTTATGGGGATTTATCTTCCTGGCACTGGAACCCTGAGCTTGGGGTCCTGCTGTGGGGCATGGACTCCTCATTCCCAAGATATCTTTCCCAAATATTTATCCACCACATGTGGGTATGGGTCCAGCCCATTCTGCATTTCTGCCCCTCCTACCGGTCTGGATGGATGTGGTTTCTTCCATAGTTGTCTTCCATAGACTTCCATTGAACTTGACTTCTGAATGATGGGTGTTCTATATTTTAGTTGTAATTTTGATGAGGTTGTGTGAGGAGGCAAGCCGTGTTTACTGGAAGTACAAGTTGTTTTCTTATTAATGAATTTACTGGGTAAACTTTTTAAGGGGATTTGCATTTTAAAAAAGTTTATTGATATATAGCTTTGCCAAGGAGGAGCCTGATTCTTCAACATCCCCAGGACTTGGTGCAACTGAGAGGCAGTCAGGAGTTTGGGGAACCTGAAGGGTCCAACAGGTTTAGTCCTTCTCTGGTCTTCAACTAATTGTCCATGCCAAGTGTGGAGTCAATACAAGGCTCTCCCACCTCCTGTGACAAGGGATAGCCAGGGGGCACCTGACAAGAAGGAATGTGTATTGTTTTGGGAATGGATTTTAACTACCTCCTTATCTCCTTTTGGGAGTGGCTTCTTGCCCTGTGACTGCTTCTTGACCTTTTCCTTCTGCTCATACACAGATGTAAGTAGCTCCAGGCTACACATAGGTTTGTGGAACCTAGACCCATGCTGCCTTTTTCTGGTACCCCTTATAATGAACCTCAGACTGGAGGAGGTGCAGTCTCTCTCACAGCAACCCACCACTGTTAGTTCATGTGTAATGTGAATAATAAATGGCATGTCCACATCTGCTAGTCTACCAGGTGGAGTTTTTTTTTCCAGAATATCATAAACACTTAAGCAGCTCCTTGGTTAGGGTCTCCTGTGCTACACCCACTAATGTGTCACTAACCCAAGAGGACTAGCCAGGGAGAACATCTGGTCATTATAATGTGTGGACAAGATGAAGGCTATGATGGTGGATTAAGGGATTTCACCAAGACCTTGGGTATTAGATCTAGATGATGTGGCTATTTCTGTAACCCTGTGAAAAGTAATTTGGCTGGAATTTCAGGATCATGTGACTGGGCAATAAGAGGTTTAATAAGTCCCCTCTTCCCCACTTTGAGGGTTCCCAAGACCTGGCAGGAGCTCACTTGGACACCAACCCTCACACTTCTCTGGTAAGAACTTGAGAACTTTTGCTTTTTGCACTTAGCACAGTAGAGTCTTACTACATAGATTTCATTTTCACCAAGCTTCTGACCTATGCCTCTGAGCAACGACTTCAGGGCCATTCTGATTCTGCCACTTACTGTGTGACCAATGGTCTGCTATAGCACTAGATCAATTTCATTCATTTTGCAAGTATTTATTAAGTATCTACCATGTGCCAGGCACTGTTCTAGGTACCTTCCTATCTTTTCCAGTATTTAAAAAATCTCCTGTCCTGGTTGGGTGTCTCAATTCGTTGGAACACTGTCCCATACACCAAAGGTTGCGGGTTCAGTCTCCAGTCAGGGCACATACCTGGGTTGTGGTTCGATCCCTAGTTGGGGTGTGTATGGGAGGAAACCAATGAATGTTTCTCTCTCACATCAATGTTTCTCTCTCTCTTCTCCCTCTCTCTTCCCCTCTCTCCAAAATCAATAAACAAATCCTTGGGTGAGGATTAGTAAATAAATAATAAAAATTAAAAATGTCCTATATACAGAAAAGCACTTATAACTTATATGTACATTTTAAAGAATAATTTAAAGGCAATATCCCTGTAACCACTACCTAGGGCAAGAAATGCACCCCAGAGCACACTTCACAACAGCTTCTTTTCTAGGGCTATTAAACTATCCTGACATTTGTGATAATTTCTTGTGTGTCTTTATAGTTTCTCATCTATGAGGATATAGAATTCTCATCTATATATAGATTTCTAAACTACATACAGTGATTCTTGCTGGACTTTAGACCTTATATAAATGGAATTGGACTGTATGTATTCACCCTTGTTTATTTTGTGCTACAATGTATTCAAGGTTTATCCCTGTAGTTGCACATGATTATAATCATTCATTTTTGTTGTATAGAATTCCACTGTTTGAAATACCACTAATTTATATATCCATTTAACTACTGATGAATGCTGTTTTCAACTCTTGGCTCCTAGGACCAATGCTTCTAAATGGTGACTGAAGGATGTTCACCACGGTGATGGAGGCAGGAAGGATGAAGTGTTTGGGGAGCCTGCTGCCCAGGAAAAGCAGTGAAGTAGAATTTCCCCTGAGCCTCTGTGGCATTTAGGTAGGTAGCTTAGCTCTGCATGTGCTTCTAGGCTCGAAGTAGGAAAAAGCCCACCCAAGTACACAGTGGTTTCTTCTAATATATTGTGTATAAAAATAATTGATTCATTCAGCACACCAACCCCTGTTCCAGCTGCTGCCTCAGCTCTTTTTTTCCAGGTCAGCCACCAAGTAGGGTTGGGTGTTCTTCAGGGCCTCAAGGAGCAGGTCTTTGCAGGTCAGGTCCCAGGCTGGAGCAAAGCTGTAGAGCTTCCTCATCTTCAGCGGATTGGTGGCCTCCACCCGCACAGCCTGGTACTGCTCCTCTGCCAGGACCTTCCCGTACAGAGCGTCCAGCACCCCGTCCACGTCTGTGACCCGTGCAATGAGGTCGGCCCGGTGGCGGTCCACGAAGTGCGGCCCTAGGGACAGGAGGGAGTAGAGCATGTGAGCTGGCACCCAGAGTGGGTGCTGGAGACTGTTCCTGCTGATCACTGCTTTCTTCAGAAATTGATCGGAATGCACGCTAAAGGGGTGGGGCTCAAGGCGGGCAACCCACCAGGACTCCAGACAGGGTGGGATGGGTGGAAGGAGGTCTCCCCTTCAACCAGGCTGGGCCCAAGGAGGGGTGTGGGTAGGGTTGGCTCAGGCTTGCTCTCTCCTGGTTCTCTTGGCTGCGGGAACAGACAGGCTGTGCAGGGGTGTGGTGTGGTGGCATGGGGCTGGTGAGGTGCCGAGAACAAGCGAGTTTGGGTGTGAGGGTCTCACCTGACGACTCGGCTGCCTTTCGGGTGGGGACCGTGATCTCGGCTGGCCCCGCTGCAGAGCCTGCAAGGGAATAAGTGGTCCTCTTCCATTTCTGTCTTTCCTCCAGGCTCTTGGGAGTCTGGGGCCCTTTGGTCAGGAAGCCAGTCAGGACCAAGTGCGGGAAGCCTCCCTTCCCAGCAGGAGGAGCTTTCATTAGAGGGTAGGAGGAACAGAAAGCGAAAGAACCCAAGGAGTAAACGTTCGGGTTGGGGGTTGGATGTAAGTGAGGGGATCCTGGAGGACGTAGGAGGTGGTGGAGGGCGTGGCGGGGATTCACTCACCTTTGCCTGTGATATCCTGCAGCCGCTCTGCGGCCTCCCGCATGCCCATGTCCCGCAGCACTTGGGCAGTCAGCTCGGTGCTATACGCTTCCAGGTAGTAGCTGACGAGCTTGTCAGTGAGGTCCACAGCGTCCATGGACTGCAGTGGCCCCCGCGGGATGCGCCCGTAGCCATCGCGCAGGGGCACTGAAAGCAGCTTCAGCTTGAACTTCTTGAACTCGTCGGCAGTCAGGTTCTCCAGCGCCTCCAGGATGGCGTCGCGCGTGCACCCCATGGTTCCGGGGTCCCCCGCCGCGGCAACTGCGGCTTAACCCCGGTATCGCAGACCAGGAAGTCTGCTCTTGGGCGGGACCTGAGTCCCTTGGCCATGGGAGGTGGGGGGAGGCGCCAGGAACCCATCCTCCTGCTGGTCCAGAAGGCCGCTCGGGGGCGGAGAGGGGCTAATGGGTGGTGCCTGCGACTCCAGGCTTGCACTAGCTAGCACAGACCAGGACCCCAGTTTACTGGAGTGCCAAGGCTCAATCTTGGAATTTTAGAGCCCTGAAATCGCCACTTTTCCCTGAACCTTAGCATTCTCTCGCACACATCATAGGATGTTACAATCAAAATCTGAGCAGCCAGAACCTGGTAGCTCCTGTAAATCCACACACTGGGGAGAAATGAGGTGGAAAAAAAGGGTGATGAAGAACAGTGTGTGCTTATTTCTCAGCCTCAGGTTCCTTATCGGTAAAGTGGGCATAACACTGGCTCATCCTGTTAGTAAATATTCCAACATAACATGGGCTACCTGGTGGTTCCCGAAACCTTGCCAAATGCTTCCTGGGAGAGCCAGGACTTGGTCCCAGGAGCTGAATTTCTTGGGAAGTGATGAAAAGAGACACTTGTACGGACTGAAAAAATTGTTGACTGGATGGAATGTTGTGGATGGAGAGTCAGTCTGGGCCCAGGGGGCTTGACCCAGAGCAGGTGAAAGGGACACGGGATTGGAGCCCAAGCTGTGCCCAGAATCCTTAACTTGCTCTTAACATGGCTGGGAAGGCCCTTTTGGTCTGGCCCTGTGGGTCGCACCAGCCTTGTCTTGCACCACACCCTGCTCCCCGCCTCTGAGTTCCAAGCACAGTGGCCTCTCAGTTCCCCAGGTGTGCCAGGCCCCTTTGCTTCTCTAAGCCTTTGCACGTGCTGTTCCCTTAACCTGGAAATCTGTTCCCTCACTCTTTGCCTGACAAACTCTTGAGACTTTAAGTCTCAAATTAAATGTCACTTCCGCAGGGAGACCAGGTTTAGAATCCCTCTCAGAGTAGGTCCCAACACCTGCTACTTTTTTGTTGTAGCTCATAGCAGTCGTGACTAAGTTGTGACTAACTGTATTTATTTAGCACCAGACTCTCCTGCCAGCTTGTCCTCATGCCTGTCCACATCATTGTTGTAGTCACAGCAACCAGAACAGTGCTCGGCCTATAGAAGTGCTCAATAGATCTTTGTGAATGGGCCCTGTGGCTCAAGGGAGGATACCAGTAGCTGGAAAGGTGTGCTTTACGTATTAGCTCTTCAAAGAGAGGCAGCTTCCAGGAGCTGAAGGACTGTGGACTTGAAGGTCTACAGTCCCTGGCTTGAACCCTGGTTCTTCCTAGGTGGGTACTGGGAACCCTTCATTTTCCCTGCTCACCTGGGGTGTAACAATCACCATTCCTTCTAGTGATGTGATCCTAACAGATTATACACACACACACACTATATATATATATATATATATATATATGTGTGTGTGTGTGTGTGTGTATATATATATATATATATATATATATGTATTTGGCACTCATCCCCCTACCAGAATGTGAGTTTTGTGAGTGCAGGGACATTGTTTTTTTCATCGCTAAAGCCCCAACATGAAGAGGCTGCACAGCAGAAGCTCAGTGAAGATTTGCTGAATGAAGGGATGATCGAGGCCGTGTTACCTACAGCATGTTGTATTTGAGAACTTCCAGAAGGGCAGCAGGGCTCTGCTCCCATCCTCATATATGTTGACCCACACAGGCTGGGTAGTACTATGTGCCAACATCCCCACGGGTGGCACTTGTGGTCCAACAGCCAGTATTCCCTGGCTCATGGCTGTTTATTACTGTGTATCTTCACTGGTCTTCATCCTTTCAGAATCTCCAACTCATTCTGCGCACTGTGGCCAGAAGGCTACATCTCCCTAGCCCACACCTTTTCCTGTCCCTCCCCTGCTCAGAAACCTGCTATGACTCTCGGCGCCTCAGAATCAAGTCCAAGCCCCTTGGTTTGGCCTTCAGACCTTTGTCAACCTCCTCAGCCGCACCTTCTACCATGGTGGACTCTGGACCTCTGCACGTGTGGCACTTGTTCTCTGCATGGCTTTGTTTTCTTCTTGGTCTGCTTGTTGGAGCCTGTGCTCCAGCATTCATCGAGAATCACTTTCTCTGAGAAATAATAAACATTGGAGCCCCCCTTTAGGCCATGACCCTTCATGTGCATTGTTTCTAAGTCTTACAACAGTCCCTTTGGAGTACAGAATAGAAGCCCCGTTTTACAAATGAGAAGACTGAGTGAGGCTCAGGTTAAAGGGCTTGCCCAAGGTCATGTAGTTGAGGGGATCACATAGCTTGACGGTTTAACTTCTGAGCCTGTCCTGTCTACTCTTCCCTGTTGACTTTTCTGTCCTCTCTGTGCAAAATGAATTATTGCTTGTCCATGTCCACAGCATGCGCCTACTCCACCTGTACTGCAGTGCTTACCACACAGTGTGCCCATTCCCTCTACTTTCCCCACCAAACTGAGCTCATTGAGGCCCCTTTCCGGTCCACAGCACTCAGCACAGGGCCTGGCACAGACTCAACCTTGATAAGCCTTTATGCAATGGCAAAAGAATCCGAGAATCTAGAATCATAGGAACCTGCTCTTTTTACATTTGGTAGAATCTTAGAAGCTTTGTGCACTTGAGCCATAGAATTTAAAAATGATTGCCCAATTCAACGCCTACACAGAGCAGAGATCCAGTTGGTCACATGGCCAATGACTGCATCACTTGAACGCTTGTTTGGGTGGGGGGGCCTTGGCTTTCAGTGCAACCAATGTAACACATTTCAACCGGACCTTTGGAGCTGCAGGAAATTGCCCTTGGAAGAGTGTGTGTCATGACTAGGAGGAGAAGGTGAGCTTCTCATACCTGACTTCCTGGGGTGAGGGAGCTGAGGACACGTCACAGTGGTGTGGCACTGTGCCTCTTCCCTTATTCCTGCATATCACCACCCAGGATCCTTTCCCTTTGGGCCAAGCTTGCCTCCAATCTCAGTCACATTCCTGCTGCACACATTCAGACCGAGACACGGAAGACCTGGTTTTCACCTGACACTGCCTCAGAGCAAGTGGTGAACTTTGGTGTGATGTCGCAGGGAGGCAATGGTTGAGGGGCTGGGAATACGCAGCCTCTCCTCTCCTAGGACTGGAAGCCTCACTCCTACAGTGGTTTCAGGCTGGAACTGAGTGGGAACAACTTACACCTTTTGATAGGTGGCTTGCTCTATGTGAACATTGTAGACTCGGAACTCAGAAGGACACGAGGTTTCTGAAGACTCTGTTTTATTCTAAAAACCTGTATTAAGGATCTACTACTTGCCCAACCCCATGATAATTGCTGGTGGAAGACCAATAATAGTAACAACAGTTTTCATTTTTGAATTTGCTATGTTTTGGGCACTGTACCAGCACTTAACATTCATAATCTCCTTTAATTCTCTGAATAACCCCATGAGTTATATGTGTTTATCCCACCTCACAGAGGAGAAAACAGAGGTTTTCAGAAATTACTCTGAAAGCCTATGCTGGTAATAACTGAGAAAACACAGATTGAACCCACGTCTACCTGACTCCTAGGCCCTAATTCCAACCAACATCTTAAAAGTCCCAATGTCCTCAAAGATCGACAACATGGTTGGCGGGATTATGTATATGGAAATGTGTGCCTCCTCCAGGCTGTCCACAGACATCATTAGGGGGCAGATATTGCAATAACAGTAATGTTAACAACTTCCTTTTCTTCACAGAATGTTCCAGAATGTATAAAGCACATTCAGAAGATTATGGGAGAGTGGGAAAAGCAGGGGACAAGGGGCGTCAGACCCACGCAGACTTGATTCCTAGACCCTCCAGCTCTTAGCTGTGTGACTTAAGGAGGTCACAGCCCACGTCTGGCGTCTGCATCCTATGTCATTAACGCACTCACCTCACTGAGAAGGGCAGTAAGTTACCCAGGGTCTCTCAGGGAGGTAGAGGTAGAGCCTGATCATTCCTGGAGACTGCCAGGGTGGTTTCCCCTGGGCAGGTGGGGTATAGGGGCCTTGGGCACCTCTAACGTCTCCCTTGGCCCCTTTTCTGGGGGAAGTCTCAAAGCTCTGAGCTTTGAGCCCTGCCTGGTAGGAAGGAACCTCCAGTCTTACTGCAGGCCCATCCTTGCCCCCTGGACTAGAGCCAGAGCTGTTGGTGTTAAAATGCTTCCTGGGTGTGAACCTCCAACCAGCAAAGTAACTCTTTGACTGCTGGAGCCAGATTGCTCCTCCTGGGGCTGGTCGGACCACAGACTGCCAGGACCTTGGGCAGGTCGCTTCATCTCTTTGTGTCTCCTGGGACACAATAGGAACAATGAGGAGGTGTTACGAGGTTACAAATGAGGTTATGAGATTATAAATGGGTTAAGAATCGTGAAGTGCTTGGAACAGACCTGACACATAGTAGGTGCTTTTGTCATTACTAAAGTTTCTGAGCCTCAGTTTCCCAATCTGTGAAGTGGGGATGATATTGTTGGCCTTACAGGGTTGTCGGGAGGATTCATTGGCACCATTAGTAATAATTGTAATAACATCAACAGCCAACACTTAGTGAACATCTTCTATGGGCCTGGCATTGTTCTAGGAGCCTTACACAAATGAACTTGTTGAATCTTCATAACAGTCAAATACTCTGATACTAATCCTTAAACAATCCTCATTTTACAGATGAGAAAATCATGTTACATAACTTGCCTAAGGTTGCACAACAAGGGAGGAGCAGAGTCAAGATTTAAGCTAGTGGAGTCAGTCATCGTTTCCTAACCCCTTTGGTGCCAGCCCACCATCCGGCGTTTGTCTGTATTGTCTGGTTTAGTCCTCATGACAGCCCTACAGGGGTGGCATTATTATCCTTCTTATCCTATATCCTAGCCGAAGATGCGGAAACCCGGAGAGGAAGGTGATTTTCCTGAGCTCGTGATGTCAGCAT